ACAAACAATAGGGTGTGAGAAAGCTGTGCTCTCGGTGGATCCCACAAAATTTGACTGAGTGAGTCACTTGGTGCAATGCCATGCTTACCAGATTCAACGAAGGCGCGTCAAATTTAGTGTGGGACATAGTAACAGATAACAGGACGAAACATGGATTTATAGTTACGATCCCAAAACAAAGCAGCAATTGAGCGTATGGGTCTTTCGAGATGAGCCGAAACCAACCAAAGTGGCGCGCGTGCTAAGTGCCTCTAGCGGATGATTGCTTCTTTTTTAAATAAAACTGAACACGTGGCTACTCTTGCTTTGGAGAATCGTTGTACCGTGAATAGTGATTGGTACACGACCATTTGTTTGCCGGAAGTTATTAACAAACTCCGTAAAAATAACCGTAAACGCCGTATCGTCTTGTACTACGATAACGCCAGTTCTCACACGGCCAGACAGACAAATGAATTTTTGAAGGTGAACAACGTTGACCTTATAAGCTATCCCGCGTACAGTCTCAACCTGGCACCTTGTGACTTTTATTTATTTCCAAAAATTAAGAACCAGTTACGCGGTCAACGATTTTCATCACCCGAAGAGGCTGTCGAAGAGTATGAAAAATATGTTTCAGATATTGTCACAGAGGAGTGGCATAAATGTTTTCAAAATTGGTTCATTCGTCTCAAAATAGTGCATTAACGCTAACGGAGAATATTTTGAGAAGCAATAAATTAATTTTTGGCCATTTTATTGTATTTTTTTTCTTATTAATTCCGGAAACTTATAGTGCGCCACACGTAATAATAATCGACGTGAAGTTTGACAATAAGGAAATCAAGGTGATTTGTGATTTATGGGTATCTTCTCGTTTCAAGAATTTTGATGAGAGTGACGACTGATCGAACAAGTGTAAAAACAGTGAAGAAATGGGAATTGAAGAACAATACAAAATTTAAAAAATAAATGGCCAGGAATCGTAAAAGAGGGTGATAAAAAGGTGAGCTGATGACAAAAATGTGCATAGTCAGGGAGTAAACAATAAATGAACTTAAAATCCAGTTGTGATGCTGCTTTAAATCAAACCTAATTGTGTTTGCAAAATTACTAAACTGTCCACGATTCATCTAATACGTCTATGTCAACTAGTTATCAAGAATTTCGCGTTCCGACAACTTTCTTAATTACTTTTGGTTATTGTCGTGAATAAATTACTAGTTGAAATTTTGTGGTTATAACAGTTTTGTGTTGCCATCATTTATAAATATAATACTTATTCGCAACGCGATTCTTTATATTTTGTTAGATTCGATATATTCTTTTAGTTTATATTTTGTTTCGTTTTACGTCCAAGAACATAATTTGTCCCGCCTAACTGAACACTGTCTTGCCCTTGTCTAGTTTTGGAGCCGAAGTTAGAGATGTGTACATAATGTGAATGAGTAATACAACTGTGATATCATATGACAGTGTAATGTAATATCACACATCACTTTGAAAAATTAAACATCACTCATAAAATCACTCTACACAATAACGATATCATTCATTTCAATTTTTTTTTATAACATCAAGAGATGAGACAAACAAGTCATGCGCCTCGCGTTAAGCGGTGTCGCTTGGTGTTAGGTGTGTACCTACCCATATCAGTTGCAGTGCTACTCAGAGCTTTAAATCGCAAAGATTTGAGAGGTGCCGCCACTACGCCCGTCACCCTGAGACATGAGTTGAAAATGTAATGTAACGTCACCCGATAGCAGCTCTAGAGCTTGATAGCAGCTCTAGAGCTTGATAGCAGCTCTAGAGCTGCTATTAAGCTCTATTTTACGCGTAACAGTCGCATCAATATTCGGTACAGGTGATATACCAGGGATGGTTATATTACTAAGTAGCAATGCTAGCTCGGAGTGATAGATTGATGGATGATGATGATATCACATAGTAATGTAATAAACGGGAACGGAATGTGATGTGATATTGCAAAACTTTTCAAAGCACTATATTGCGTTAGTCAAGCTGGACGGAGTCTCATAAATTTCTTACGCCTTTGTTTTATACGCACACTTTTAAATCTTGTCTTGCTTGCTTTTTCCTATTTGTAAGTACAAATAACTGAATAAAGATATTATTATTTTAGGCATCTGCGTATTTTAGATTGTAGGCGAAAAAAGAATTAATTTTTAATTAATTTAATTTAAATCCCCGAAATACTGTCTGTGTTCTATGTTAATGTTACAATCGACCAAGGGAAAAACGTTTTTGTAGCAGTTGAGCTCCTTGTGAAAGAGTTCGTCCAAGGAAGTACTGCCACCATACCTATTTCTGCCACCAAGCAGTAATATCAGCATTACTGTGTTCCGGTTTTGAAGGGTAAGGGTGCTGGTGAAATTACAGGCACATGAGACTTGTCAACTTACGTCTCTGGGTGTCAGAACAGGTTGCAGTGGCAGTTCCCCTCAAATCTTTGCGATTTAAAGCTCTGAGTGGCACTGCAACTGTTATGGACAGGCGTGTAGCTTACCATCAGGCGCACGACTTGTTCGATCCGTCACTTGATATTATAAAAAAAAGAAAAGACATTACTATAAAGCTATTTCGAGGAAATCCTAATAATAATGGATGGATTAGCGATAGGGGTTATTTTCACTATCGTCATGCTTGCCTTTTATACAAAGGACAGTATCATTATAGACCATTAGTATTTATTAATGGGTTACAAATAGAACCATATTCATAATGAAAGTACACAAGGCCTGAAAAATGTATTGCCAAAGAATGCAATAATTTTGAGTAAAATATCTTTTATTTTTCGGAACGATACAGTCAATACTGCTCAATAAAGTGTAGATAGAGAATAATAAGCCATGATAAGATATATTTTTTTTATTTAATACTGTCCACTAAAATGTGTTTATATAAAATAAAAGAATGGTTCAAAATTCAAGAAAATAAAAAAGCAAAAGGTTTCCAACGTTAGGAGAGAAAAACTTGACATGGAAGCAGCGCCCTGTTTTATAGTGTTGGTAAAGAGGAGTTTATTATCAGTTTGTGTTTGTTTTTTGGTTTATTTTGATAGATTTTTTTATATAGAGCGCCAGGGGGCCTATCACAACCTTTCCAAAAACAATCTTATTTCAATGTAAGCATTAAGTAAACTAATTATAATATTACTCATATTCGTACCACGACAAACCTGTCAACCAAGTAAATGTATATTGCTAAGTGATTGAAAGAACGAATGATATTCCAATATTGTCTCTTCCTTACTAAAAATAGGAAAGAAATAGCGCTATGTGAACTGTATAATGCCTTCTGTTTCTTTTTTGATATTCCTATTCTATTATTATATTCTATTATTATTATTATTATATATTCCTATTCCTATTCCTTGTACTTATCGTAGTATAATCTCGATTTGCCAGGCTCGTCAATGCTCTACCTCTTGAAATGGATATCTTCGCAGTCTCATTGCTTCGCTTCAGGAAGTCAATATTGCAGTTTTTGGCATATAAGTGAATATTATTTGTAATGTAAACTTTGAGTAACTAAACATAGACCGAAGGAGGATACAAATTTTATCTAAATGCATCAATAAAAAAAAGAGCATTTATTTACTAGACAAAATAATTATATCCTACGTTGGGGCTACTTGTAAGTAAAAATGACACGTGTTAAAAGCCCCGTTTTTCCAAGTTATATTTTTTACATAAGTAAATAAAGAAATAGAAGTTAAACAATATCAATTGAAGTGGTGTGCGTGCGTGTGTGTGTTGCATAATGTTGTTAATACAGAGATATATTTTTTTTATCAATAAGGTCAGGTGGGGTAAGAAGAACTTTGAGCATTGAACATTTGAGCTTTAGAAAGAAAACATAACGTTTTAAGAATATTGCAGTACACCAAACTTGCTTTCAATTATCAGCTTTACATGTTTTAACAATATTTACGCTAAATTCAATACTTACGATGTATTTGCCGAAAACCTGCAAATCGTGTACAACGTTTCTCTTCGCCCAAAAGATTGGGTATAAGGAACAGTACATCGTATTTAATAATCACAATAAAGAGCTTTATTTACGAGTATCTACATTAAAATACCAACAATTTAGCCTTAGGTATGTATATAGATATTTCTTATAAATATACCAGTTATTTTATTTCATGATACCAAGTGGCGGGACGAACAAGTCGTGCGCCTGGTGGTAAGCGGCACGTCTGCTTATAACAGTTGCAGTGCCACTCAGAACTTTAAGTCGCAAAAATCTGAGGGGCATTGCCCTTCAAAACCTTTCAAAATTACTGCTTGGCGGCAGAAACCGTAAGGTGAGAGTGCTTCACTGGACGAATTCTTTCGCAAGAAGCTCTACTGCTTCAGGAATACTCACAACGAAAACAAAAGATATCACAATTGTCAAATGTCAAATTTGGATTTAGCGCATCGTATCGACATCTCTCTAAAAGCGCTTAACCTAATTTGTTGATCTGTTTTATGCACTGAGAGACCATAAGACTTTTTAGGTTAGGAGTTAACGCTTCAAGTTCCTGTTCATTTTTATTTTCATTGTCATTTCCCCGGTGTTCCTCTTACCCCGCCTGATCATAACTAATTTTTTATCAAATTGGCTTTTACGCCCTTTCTTCCCCAAAGTATCGATAGACATAAGATCAACGTCCACACAGCTCGAAGAGCCACCAAGCTTGAATTAAAAAAAAATAATTGTGGTATCTAGTGATGTCTTTTGTACATATTTTATTTCCCATAAGTAAATATTGTTATTACTTTTGTTTCATTCTAGTTGGTTTTACAATTAGGATGTCTGTGTGCCGGTCATCATCAACTTTTCATATGTCACAATTCTCGGCACGGTTTTCTTCTAAGGAGAGGGTTTAGGCCAATAATCTCTCGTGTTATCACTATTTTTGTGTACAATATCCATTGTAATATAAAATTTCTCGATCCAAAAGGTGAAGTGGATGAAAGGAGCCTCTCGATGTAGGCAGTAAACTGTCTTACCTTTTTCTTGTTTTTCATATGATTGGCGTCGCGCAACTCCTGCGCATTGCCCGGTGCCCTCGCTCCCCACAGCTTCATCGCCAAGTGCGCGTACGCAAACGTTATCACGCATAATGGTATCACATACTGCACACAAAGAAATAATTTAATAGTGAAATAGTAAGAGGTTAGGAAAGATAAGAATTTGTGTGGAGACCACAACCACACCTGTTTATTACCTGGTCTCAAAACTAAGGAATTCCCTATAGTATGAGTACTAGAGTTTTACTAATCAGAACACCCAAATTGGTCCTACAGAGAATCGAATCCGGAAGCTCCTAATCCGGCACGGCGTCCACAGCGCAAACCGTTGGGCCACCAAGGTCGTCAAAAATGAAAGAAATAGTAATAGAATCAAATCCAGTTTGTTCAAAATAGTAAGTTTTAGTGCCCCGTCGTTCAATATATTTTTTCTTTCTGCTTTAAAATCTGCTTTAATTTTTATGTTCCTTTTAGTACTACACCGATCCTTGACGATGAATGAACGAATGCTATCACTGCTAATCCTTTGACACTCTTTTGAGACTCAACTGCCATTGCAAGTAGAGTTTAGCAAAATAGTAAATATTACCATAATTGCTATATAGGTACCCTCAGTGAAATATCAATGGAATGACAATGACCAGTGGTTTCAAAAAATTAACAGACTTGGGGTCCTGCTCGGTACAGGCCTCCGGGGCCACACTAGGGTTTATCGAGCGTCAGCGTCTTGCCACCGCACGTACAGCGTTGACACGCATCCGCGTGACCGTGACGCAACGCCAACGCGATGTATCCCCGAAGTTCGGCACTATTCACCAGTCACTCAGTGCTGGCGTTGCGTAAACAAATTAGTTAGGAATACTACGTTGCGACGGCGCCGCCGCGCGGACATCGCTTCACTTCGACGCTGCCCTGTGCATGCGTTGGCAAGAAGCTGACGCTCGAAAAACCCTAGTGTGGAGGGAGAATTTGGTCCAATATGTGTTGGGGACTGCACACGTTTTCCACGAGTTGTAAAATGTCTTCGAGATACAGAATTCATTAAAACTTTTGCGTTCCCTAATGTACATTCACTAATGTACGTAACCTAGAAATTTTAGTCATAGCTACATTTCGAAACAAAGATCGAGCCGACGAGCTCTCAATTGAAAATAGTAAATTTTTCCAACAAGCCCTCGAAAAAAATTCATTTTATTTATATATTTTTCTAACTAGCAGTTGTTGAGAAAAAATATAAAGAGTTAAATTGAGTTTTTTTGAGTTAGCTTTCAGCCCGCCTAGGAAGTTGTCGTTTGTTCGACGTACTTCCTAAATAAAAACGCATATTATGTTTGATTAATTAATTAGTGTCAAGGTTTTTTAGTTTAGCGTCTTAGAGTGCGTGCTATTTAGAGATTTTTACTCATTATGCCAAATTTTGGTTAAATATTTTTAAATATAAGTATGTCTCTCGTATCTACTCTATACTTTTCCAAAAACAGTATTTCCTAATATTGAATTATACAATTCAATTATATATAGTACATAATAACTGAAAACAATAAATTCAAATAAGTCTAATATCGGCGTTTCTCGTCGCTAGTCGTCACGTCAGACCGACGACTGGCGCTTTAGCTTTTTCATTTCGAAATTATTGAATTTAAATAGGAAAACAACATTATACAAAAAAAATACATGCGTTATATATTTGATGTAGATTCTATTTCAGTCATAAAAAATATAAATATGTGAAAAAAGTTGCTATTTTGAATTGAGAAGCTATTGTTCTGCCACTAGGTTACCATTGCTAGGTAGAAACACGCGCAATAAAGTCAGTGAATTATAAATTAAATATAAACATAAACTTACCTGAAATATATACAATAACAGCCTGTATATTGCCAAAGAATGTGTTCCAAATTCACTTGCAGTGCAAAACGGTTTCTTGTAATATGTTTTGGACGCTGCAAGACAAAGGTATAATTTGTTTTTAATCTGTAAGTAATATCGAAGATTATATCAAGAATATTATTAAGTGATTTGTTAACAGTTTGTGTATGCATTGATGCAAAAATGTTATAGCAGGCACCATTGCCTTTTCTCTAAAAATTAAACTGACACATACATTTTTCATTCGTAAAATATTTTGAGTTCTATGTTTTGGAAAGGATCATATTATTGTTACCTGGATCCACTTCATCGATGACATAATACGTCATAGTAACAACTTCCCATGACATTGCCATGGGGGCTGCCAGGGACAGCGCAAGAATCCATATAAATACAATGATCACTTTCGCTATGCGCTTCGACGTATGTGCACTGAAACAAAAACAAAGGTCTTACTTTCTCTAAATTAATTTCTGTATTATTTTTTATAACTCAGAGTTACGGCACTCATTAATTACTGACAATTTATTTAAGGTGCCATCAGTTTAAGAAATTCACAAATTTTGAAAGGACAGGTCATTTATTACCAACGGTACTTTGACCTTTGCCTTAACATTATTTTAATAACCTTCCTTATAAGCTCGATCGTATCGTGTAGTACTAAAAACATGGTCATGATTAGTTTTTGAACTTGATTAACAAGTAGTTGAAATCCTACAAAATAATATGATTTTATAAAAGCTCAGACGACGTGTGACGCAAACAAGACATTAACAAAATTTCAATTCTACTACTCATTACCCAAATTAACAATTAAGTTGCTTTTACTAGAAAGTTTCTCAACTCACACTACATTACTTTTACATTTTAGATGAACATGACCCTTTACTTCTGAACCATTTCGCAGTTTTGTTAAAAGCAGTTTGTTTAAGCAGCTGGAATGCCAGTCGTTGACACGCTTGTTGCCTAGCATTTCTTAACTTGTATACTATTCTCCGTCCAACAATTTATTTAACTTTTGGCAGCGCGAATTCTTATCTTTCGACAAACATTGATTTTGTTTATGAATAATATTGAATCGTGATTGGGGTCGTGATATTGCGTTTGACAATTTGTGTACTCAAGAATTAATAATTAATATTAATGTAGATTCAAGTGGTGATGATGATATGGAGAAGAATTCGAGGATTCATTATAATAAACAATAAGAATGTATTTTAATATTTATTTCATTTCACTCATATTTCATTACAATTTATTAGACAGGTATCAAAATTTATTAACTTGAATAATATTCGTTACATAATATGTTGGCTCTATAAATATCGGAGCTAAAGAGCACGTTGCTTCGCTAAAATTAAAATAAAAGATTCCAGGAATTACTTAATTAATGGAAAAACATTTGTTTTGACATTTGATGTACTTCCCTTTGACAACGGTATCATGTACCTCATGTACTGCGAAATGGACACAGTTGGCATTTAAGATGATGTTACGTATTTTCGATTATCGTGTTTGACACAGACCAATGTAATGCTATCTCTTTTGGCTTAAGACGGCACGTAATAGTTAAACAAAGACAATAACATGTTTATGTTTTCGACCTCGAAATGCATCATATACATATAACGTCTGATTTATACATGTCAACGTAACATGTCCTTTAGTTTCCATCTAAGATGGAAATAGTCTAAGAGGAAGTGTCATATTTTTTTGTCTATGTCATGCTTATGTCAAAAGTTAAATGAATGGTTGGACCTTAAGAATGGAAAAAAATAAAGGTTGGACGGAGTATACACCTGCCACTTACAGGCACGTCGGGTGTGCCGGGTACAAACATGTCTAGTTAGGCTAATAGTTTTTTTTTTGCATTAGAAGGACATTTTGTGTGATTGCTTTTATTCAAAGCAATTTAATAAATACCGTAAAACAAAATTCGCAAACAAACTTGCAACCTTGTAGTATTCACGAAAGACTAAATGTATTATTGCTAGCTTTAATGAACTTAATCAAAGGCTTAAAAAAAACCTTCAAGAAACGGAGGTCCCAAACAGTAAACGAAACTGTAAATAATAATACCATATTGTTGTGTCATCAATTCTGACGATGGTTTCGTTTACTGTAATTTGTTTACTGACTAAAAAGGTTTACGATAACTGCTTCTTTTCCTAATTCTAAAAAAGAGAAGGTATTTAGATAAGTAGCTGCCCTTAAACATATAGACTGTTTTAGAAAGAACTTCATAAAGCGTGTTATCTTAATCGCATTCCACCCATTTTCACAAACAAGTTTGACTGTGAAGAATGTTATGAAAATACGTAAAAAAAGAAATACCAGTTTCACAATAAAAGCCTATCTTGGCCCCTATAATGGGTGTTATCATCCTTTTTTCCTGTTGAACGTCATTAAGTTAACAACTTGCTGTATATTCTTTTATGTAATATTGAGTCTGCTAAGTTACTTTTTGAATAGCGTTTTGTTACGGAAAGTTTACGGTTTGTTGAAAGAGCGCGAATAAGGAATAAGTTATATTTCATTTATTACCTCATTTTTATTTATTTTTTTTTGGAATTTTAAATTATGAATTTTTGTTACAATTGTATTGATGAATTTTTATGTGTTTAATTTTAAATGTTGAGTTTTTGTGTTTTAATTTTGCATCAATAGTTAGTTCGTGATTTCTAATGATGGGTAAATTCCTGAAATAAAGTAACTATTAAAGCAGTATTGTAAACATTACTGTGTTCCGGTTTTGAAGGGTAAGGGTGCTGGTGAAATTACAGGCACATGGGACTTGTCAGTTTATGTCTCAGGGTTACGGGGGCTGTGGCAGTGCAGTACCAGCCAGTGTCAGCTCTTTCTTTGCGATTTAAACCTCAGAGTGGCACTGCACGTGTTATGGACAGGCGTGTAGTTTACCTTCAGGCGCAAGACTTGTTCGTCCCGTTACTAGATATTATAAAAAAAAAACAATTATTATAAATAGTAAATGAAACTATTTTTCCGGATTTAAATCGCGTATATTTGTTTTTTCAAAAAATCATCGTTTCGGACCCTTGACAGGTTCCATGGTCACGGTTGACCATAATTATTGTATGTTGATTATTATAAATATTATAATTAATATATCTAATATAGTTGTGTGTTTTTAAATTCTCGCCATTCACATACCCTAAAATATATATTTTTTTATTTTATAAATATTACAGAACTCATTTTCTTTAGAAATGTGCCCAACACAAACATTGACGCAATAGTCAATATTAACGCGCCCAGAACAGGGTCTAATATTAATTTGGCAGCTATTACATATCTCTACGGTAGAGATGATATTTGATGTGAAAATGGTAAACATAATAATGGCATATAATATGTTTACCAAAAATTTTCCCCTCGATCCTTCTTCCTTCCCTTATCGATTATATTTTTCCTCAACATTACGTATACATTTCTTTGTAAGAGCGGTTACACAGCGACTTTATAGAGCGATACAAACGCACGTTTGTGAAACGCGCGATTGCTTCTTATTATATCGCGGCTTAAGTTTTTTTTTAATAAAATATAAAGTAACGGGACGAGCAAGTCATGCGCTTGTTGGTAAGCTATACGTCTGTCCATAACAGTTACAGTGCCACTCAGAGCTTTAAATCGCAGAGATTTATAGGGCACTTCCACTGCGCCCGTAACCTTGAGACATAAGTTGACAAGTCCCAGGAGCCTGTAATTTCATAAGCACCCTTACCCTTTAAAACCGGAACACAGTAATGATGACATTACTGCTTGGCGACAGAAATAGGTAAGGTGGCAGTACTTCCCTGGACGAACTCTTCCACAAGGAGCCATACTGCTACTGAAAGTCGCGCGTGTATGTAAAGGTGGTGTGTAAATTAACAAATTCTGGCAATATATTGCCGCAATTTATCCCATTGCGCGATATGACCTTGAGTTGACCAATCAGGAGCTAAAGTCACAGCTCCTGATTGATCAACTCAAGGTCATATCGCGCAACCTGATAAATGCGACTATATATTGCCAGAATTTGTGCATTGTGAATCCACGTTAAAGGTAGACGATTAGCGATTGCACTGCTTCTGCATCGCGCCTGAATTATTGTAGACGCGCTGCTAAGAGGCGCCTTGTCGTCACACAGCTCGCTCTTAGATAAACAACTCGTGAGCCAATAATTTACAGTGTAATTCCTAGCCTCTTGTTACAAATTATGTTGCTTGTTACCCATAAATTGTAAGATGCATCTAGATCCTATTCTCTGGCTTATGTTAGTCTATTTATGGTATAATATTAAACTGCACGGATGTACTTAGTGGACTTTACAAGTTTTAGGGTCGTATTCCAGAACTCTACTCATTGCTCAAGTCAGGATCAGAGTATGATTTCAAGCACTGGAAATACGACCCTAATGGCAGGGACTTGAGTATGATTTCGAGTGCTTTAAGCCATACTCAAATCCTGACTTGAGCATTAAGTAGAGTTCTAGAATACGACCCTTAGTTATAAATCGAGTCACTTCATATATTCCACTGCTGGGCAACGAGTCTGCTCATACAGTTTTGAATGATTAAATGAATTATTACTTATAAAAAGATCGAAAAATGTCTTCAATCTAACTCTAACCAGGTTCTGTCATCTCAACGTGGCGACATGGTATTTGAAGATATTCACGTTTGTGTCTGTTTCGATCTATGTATCAATAATTATAACAAACTAGTGGAATCCTTTCACAAATTAGTATAGAGTACTAAAAAAAGCGACCTCAAAAGTTCTTGGAATTACATCTGTTACCGGAAAGTGCGCGAAACCGAATTCATCCCCTAGTTTGCCACCTTTAGAGGTGGTATATTTTCTTCAAATTTAAATGGGATCAATACTGAGATACCCTCTTTCCAACAAAAAAAGATCATTAAAATCTGTTCACAATTTATTTTCAAAAAAGACTTATCGCGTAATATACATACAAAAAAATGCAGTCGAATTAAGAACCTCCTCCGTTTTTTGAAGTCGGTTAAAAATAGATGAATATCATGGAAAACACGATAATTATTCAATAAAAATAAATGATTGAATGGATTATTTGAGGAACGATAAACGCCGCCTTTCTGGAATTCCTTTTATTATTTTTTAACAGAAGCGTATCGTAAACCAAACCATTTATAAATTATATAAGAAAATAAAGCTATTAAATAAGAAGAAAACTGTTTACTTCATACTGTTACTGATTAATCAGTAACAATTTGTCACAAAATTAGGTTAGTATTCTTTATTATTATAGACATGAGACGAACAAGTCGTGCGCCTGGTTACAAGTGACATGTCCTCCATAGCAGCTGCAGTGCTACTCAGAGTCTCACGCAAACGTGTCGTATCAAAACTATTAATAAATTATATAAGAAAATAAAGCTACTAAATAAGAACAA